AGCAAAAGTCAATCGAGTCGAATCTTGTTTCCTATTGACTGAGTGGGAGTAATAAAAAGGAGAACATTTGGTTCGTTTTTTGTGCTTATGGTTAGTTCAATATTGATAAAAAAGAAAATTAAAATATGTTAAACGACCTCATAGTCTGTCCGGGGAAGCGCATCGAAAGACAAACAGTCGACATCAAGCTAAATTACAACAGTCATCCAGTGACTTTCCATTGGAGAGGCGGGAGTGGGGGGTAGGGGGGGTAGGGAGTTTCAGATTACACAATGGGTTTTTAGGACTATCAGAATATTCCTCCATAACTCGTATAAGACTATTTTTTCAGAGTTACTTTTAGCCATGAATGCAAGGTTGCTACAAATTAACACTCCAATGCGGATTATTTCACTGGTGCTTTATTATCCTTCTGTTCTCACTCGCATTACAATGTTTTTTAAGTATTGTAAAAAAAAATCTGACTTTTGGCACGTTTCCATGATCTTACAATGGGTTAACATGTGCAACAGCATCTTCCTCAAGCTTAACAAGGTTGCCCTCCTTGTCAAGGTCAGTTCTCACAATACGATGTTCCACACAATGGTTGGGTGGTAATGAGACCGGCTCCTTTGTTCTGTAAAATGCAAAGTAAGGGAACAATTTGGTTAATTTCTTTAAGAATTACATTATGTTCTCAACTTTGAGCGATGGACTTCTTCAACTGCTGAGTGTTGGTTGATTGTTAAGAGAGGAATGGGATAAAAAATCACTAGACTTGGAGAATACCGTGAGTTGTTGACTACTTTCCAGGTAGGAGAAAGGTTATAAAGATTTTGACTTTAAAAAAATATTTACCAGTTGAAGTTAACTACTATTTACAGCAGTTTTCCTCTCAGGATAAAAAAATTTAGATTCCACAACTTAAGACACAAATGTTATCTGGGTCAGAGTTTGTAGTGTCGTCTTCTAACCAAGAATAAATTTAATGGGGATTAGTTGGGCTTAGCTCAGTTTAGCTAAGAGCTATGTTTTCCATCCAGCTTAATCAATGCACCATGTTACTAAAGTGGTGTTATTTTTAAACTTCTGTATAATGATTTCGCCCACATCCTAGAGAGTTCACTGAACATGAAAGCGATGAAATGTCCTTCTAAATGGCTATGTCTGTCGATGTGCTCTGTGAAAGTGAGCCCAGAAAATTATTGAGAGAATGCCAATTAACGTAACATCTGGGAGGTGTTCTAACAACGAAAAACCTTACTTGTAAGTTGTATTGAAGTGGCATCTGTGATAGCCTCCATTTTTGAGTAGGAGGAACATAGTGACGTCACCCCTCAGAGAGCCATTACAGACAGTCATTTTCTCAAAGGACGGGTCCCAGCCAGTTGTCTCCTTTTTCATGACAGGTCCGTCTGCGGGAAAGTTTACGCCATGAAAAATAGACTTGTGCTTGAAGCAGTTGCCTACGAGGCTGTGAGGTGCAAAGAAGCAAAGCATATAATCCATGTCGTGATAATAAATCTTAAAACGAGGCATACTCTAAGAAGGCGTTTGTCACTTATAACGGAAAAACTGCTCATAAACTACATCTTTAAAATATTCCTTTGATCTACCTTTCACTTTTCAAAAATTAAGACCAAATGGCTTTAAAGGCTGCAGCCACTCACGAACAATTCAGCCTGATGAAACGATGGACTCTTAGTTTCCAATGGCTCTTAATGCGACTGTTATCATATCTATATATGTTCTAGCTTACTTCTCTCAAATCTTTCCCAACAATACAGTACAAGTAAAAGATTCATATACAAATAGAAAATAGCGATAAAAAGGTTGAACAGGGTTAACCGCATTTGTAATTCATTACATACCTAATGTGTCCACTGGCTGTAGCAACTCCTCCATCCTCAAATGTAAATGTCCTTTCATACGACATTCCAGCAGGAAATGCTTGTTTGAAATAGTCTGGCATGCCCTCAGGATACTTAGTGAAGCATCTATTTCCATATTGAAACGCTGACGACAGTATGTCAAAGGAGAATGGAAGTGGTGCCCCTGTGATGACTTTAAAATTGGCCGTCTGTTTCCCCCTAAAATAAGTAAAAAAAATAGTTGGAAACTTCAACAAATACAATTGACCCATAATTCTAAAGAAACGAAATTTGACGAGTACCGAGAATTTGCATCTAACCTCCGGATTATTCGCATTATTATGGATCCTAGGTGGAATTTTGAATACATGAATTTAGTTATCTTTCACATGACCTTTGCCGCATCATGGCCCATTTCAAGGATGCGAATGAGTCATCAGCCATCTTGTGATGGATGTAAGCTCATCATAACTCTCATTTCTTCAGTTTCCCAGTCTAATTTGTATCTTATTGAGGATCTTGGAAACTTCTTTGTTTATTGAGTGGACCATTTCCACTTACCCTCCATCAAATGTCTTTCAATATTTGTTTTAGGAATTTCAATCTGACTTCACTTTTAGTTTAATATTTTTAGCTGTGGTAAAAAAATAACTATTTTTGTTTTGTGTAAATCTATGCTGATCTGTTTAACAGATACTTACTCGTAAGGTTTTCCGTTGCCTTCACCTTCGATGGTAAACTCATGGCCATTGACCCAGCCCTTCATTTCATATTCCATTTTCATGTCATCTGGGATAATCTGGATCAAGGAAAAACAAAACGCAATGGAAATAAAACAAGCCTATTTGGAAGGGTGGACTCAAAGATGTATTTTAAGATGCTTGCAGAATTATGAATTGGTTCATGCTCAGAGCCCGAACAAGTGTAAAGATTTAATATGGAAAGGCCAACAAAAGCCGAAAAGTATGAATTTCTAGTAACTTGTGTGTAGTGTTCAACGAGAAGACGTGCTTTCTATTATGTGTTATTTCACTTGTGCTACTTAAGACTCAAAAGAGAACCGATGAGCTTTTATTGATCAGTTGATTCCCGCTGCCGCTATTGTTATTTTCCAAAGAGCGGCCGTAAATATTCCCATAAAAACTCTTACAATTTCGCCACGACTGTCATTTCGTAAGATGATCATCTCACTGCTGGAGCTTGGGCTACCTGTGGTTGATTCCCTCTGCCACTATTGTTATTTTCAGTTAGTAGATGGAGACCTGTTAAATGCTACTAATGCTACAACCCAAGTTCTCTTTACGCTCGCGCTGCGCGTCTGATCCATTAATTGGCATACCGTGTTTTCTTTCTTCGAATGGGAACTTTTGTAATCTACACACTCATCAATTCCGGCAAAGGCTTCGGAAAAAGACGAAGTAAACAGCACAAACAAAGGACAGGTGAGCAGTTGAGAAGCATATGAGAGCAGCAGTTGGTTTCCGGACCGCCTTTTACCAATCAGAGGTCATATTTTATGGTCCGGTGAACCGCTCATTTAAGGAGTAATTCACTGCAGCGGCAAAATGACTGAGTGGTCTCATACCAATATAATAGCACATTTCCGAGCTCTCATGTGTTAGCGATCTGGTGCCGAAATCAGTGGGAGTAAGAATCGACCAAATTTGTCGTACTTTACTCTCAAAAAACTTAGTACTTGCTAAGAAAGCGAAGACCGGGAAGTACTGCTTTTCGTTCTCCTTTGCTGATCATGAATACACCTCTCTCGTTAATAGTTTTGACTCATCCACTTTAAGTTTAGAGTAATCTTCCGCTCGCTGTTGTTTGTCCATTTTAATTTACTACCCTGGATTGACATTTGTCCTTCCCGACGAAAGGGACTCCGTACTTAGCCTTCAAGGCTCTATTATCCTTATTTCGGCAACAGATCTCCGACTCGTGGGAACTCGGAAATTGGCTATTGATTCTCGTAACAAAATCTTGAGCCGTCAAACAATTTTAAGCAGTAACAGGCCGGCATTGAGACTCTTTGAAACAAAAAGGAGTCGTCCTATTACGGTTCCTATTTGAAACTCTTACTTGAATGTTGGCACAAGGTCATATCATTTGTCGAAAACAGTTTTTGACAAAAATAGGTTTTTTTTTTGCAAGAATTTTTGTGTATGTAAATTTCTCAAGTTGTTTGAGTTTCAATTTTTTTTATCTTCTTAGTGCAGCCCTGACCATCTGCAATATCTTTGAGTCATTGATTCCGTCGTAGCCTTTTAGTTTGTGGTTAGAACCACTTGATGGTTTCGCTCACCCTTTCAGTAAATTCTGTTCATTTTGCAGAAAAGAGACTAAAAATTCTCGACCTGACTGACAAAAATGATTTAAATATTCAGATCTCGAAATATATACATCAATTTGATCTTAAAGACGTTAGAGAAATTAGGGACCGTGTTTTAGTAAGTTGAAAACAAGTAACATGAACCAAATCATTTGAAGGTACCAACTGCTGTGAGAGCACGATGTACCCCGCCAACCTTTTGCTTCGGTTGAGGTTAACTTACGAGTATGACACGGCAGGCTGTATCGAAATTCCCCCTCTTTATTTCTTAAGTAGATTGAATTTAATTCGTTACTTAGATCTGGAAATTCACTTACCTGCTTTGAAAGTACCATGTTGAGAATGAATAGCTTGCTAGCTAAAAGACTTGTATCTGGTGAGGCTTAACTGCAGTAGTTGACTCCTTCACTGAACGCGTGAACTGATTGCAAAGTTCAGGTGGATGAACTCTTTAAATGGCCAAATCGAATCATACAAGAGAACAAAACATTACTTTGGTAGACTACGTAACTTTGTCATTTACGTCATTTGCACTTTTGCGTTATTTCTTCATTTGCATCTTCTATATTGATGTTTGAGCCCGATGCCATGAAAAGCGGAAGATTCGTTTAAATATAACAATCTAGAAGGATAAAGATATTTGGGATGCATCGTTGGCGGGTCAATTCGGCGAATGTCCAGATTTTGTCCGGTGACTCTTGAATTAAATACATGAGGCTACAACTTTCAAGTTTTCCAAGTAGGTGTGCGTACATCTTATTATCTTATAGCGTGTTAGGCTCACGTGAACTGCATCTTCGCTGCTTTGAATTTGATCCCTCAATTTAATTTTCTCAAGCTGGAAAGGTTAGCTCTGATTCGGAAAGAAACAAAAGGACAAAAGATGAGTGAGGCGCCGATTTCTGAGCCCCTCAAACAATTTGAAGGATAAATAATTTACTGAACTATTTTATTGCACGAATGAGCATTCAATGACAGTGTATTGGAAATAACTAAACAGAATCAGGCTTGGCATGACAAAAAGCCATCTCGGAAAACTTCATTAAAGTCGAATTAAGATAATTAAGAGAAAAATACAGTCCAACGTTGTTTGAAAACTTAACTACTGATGACTATGAACACGCAAAAAAGGAAGAAATATAGAGCGTTTGTACTCGTGTGTCACTAAAATCCCTCAAGGATTCAGCCAAAAGGAAACAAAAATCTTCGTCATTCGCAATTATTAGTGGCGCTTAGCATTCAAGTTGTGTTTGATACGATTAAAACCGGAATATTCGTTTCAATATCACAACCAATCAAGATTAAGATGTTCGTACACCATTATTTGCGGGTCGATTTGGAGAAAGTCCAGATTCTCAAGGCTTAAGAGACTACTTTCCGAATAGATATTTGGGAAGTTTGCTACTTTTGAAAAAAAAGTGGACTTTAACTTATCGCGTGTCAAGCTCAAGCGTTGAACAGTTTTACATTGCTTCTCTGCTTTAATTTGGTACGACTTATTACATTTTATTATACCGGCAGGATTACTGAGCTCTTGATCCGAATAGAAACAGCAAACAAAAGATGACTAGGCTGCTTAGCTCTCAAATCTTTTATCGCACAGACGAGTGATCAGTTACAGTCCGCTGAACTATGACCCTTACTATTATGTTCCTCACGAAACCAATCTTTTTAATGAACAGAGCCGCTTTCCGAGTGAGAGAGAATTGACTTGAGTCAAAGTCTTATGAGGTTTTCTTGCAGCAGTGGGTACACACCCGTTGCTACGTCTTGTTATCTCGATTTCTTTTGAATTCCATGAATTCAATGATCATGATTATTGAAAAGGTCTTAAACCAGGTTTGATATTCAAATTAGAGTAACAGTTGAATTATTTTCAAGGTGCCCTATTAACATCGATTGTGTGATAAATTTTAGGGTCTCGCGTAACAATATTATATGATTTTTCCCATTACAGTAGCTAAGTAAATAACTTTTAGAAGCGTGATAGAAGAGCTTCTCGTGATTACTAGTGTTATCAAAATATTAACTTGATTGATTCATGTGATTTTTTTACGTCATTTATAAATTTACATCATCTACGTCTTTCACATTCATTTTTGTGCCCGATACCGTGAAAAACGGAAGATTCGTTTAAATATAACGATGTATTAGGATAAAGATATTTGTGATGCAATGTTGATGCGTCAATTTGGAGAATATCCAGTTTCTTAAAATTTTTTAGGAGACTCTAAAAGCGAATATTTGAGGCTACACCTTTTTTGTCGAAAAAGTGGACACATACACTTATATTGAGTTAGGCTCACGTGAAATTCATCTTTACGCCTTTAATTCGTTAACCTGATTTCGTTTTCTAAGGCTGGCATGACTAGCTCTGATTCGAAAAGAAACAAAACAAGAAAAGGCGAATGAGATGGGCATTTTGTTCAAATAATTAGAGGGGATAAATAATTGACTTCATTCTTTCATTGCACGAGTGGCTGTGCAAAGCAAAATGTGATCAGAAAAAAAATACATATTTGAAAACAAAGAGCTCTTGAAAACTGGAACTCTCGAAAAAAAGTGAGATCTTGAATCAAGTTAAAAGATCCTTTCCTAGACATTCCAAACGAGTAACGAGAAAGTAACTGTCGTGGTTAAACAGACGTTTTTGGATGTGTTATGTTTAGCGACTGATGCAGTACAGTTTGTAACATAATGATAATTGATCCAGTGAAGATCATTAACCCTAAAAGTTGCCTTAGAGTGTGCAGATGAATCACGTAAAAAATCAAAGAGCCACGCGATATGGATGATTTCATGGGCCAAAGGGTGTAAGATATTTGACAGACGTATTCAATGAGGAAGTTTTGCCTTGGTACGTAGGTACACACATAACGATCATCTTGTAAATTAAAGCACCTTGGCTGATCAATGTCCGGATTTTCTCCATTCATTTCCTCAGTCATTTGCTTATGGAGTAACTCCGATGACTAGATAAAAATCATTTGGAACGATTGTTTGGAAATTCAGTCTTATATCTTAATGTACATTCCCCAGGAGAGCTCGCGCAAGAGAGGTTAGTAAGTACATTATTACATGGTAATCGGAATAAACTTGATTATTCAAAATACACGGCTTATGACCATTTCCGTGAAAAAGGCGCGTATGGCAAAATCCCGATCTTATAAGAACCAATCAGAACGCTCGAATTTACCACCAGACTACTTTACCATATGATATATAAATGCCGGAAGTATTTAATGACTATGTAGTAGTTGGATAAAGGAGGTAAGTTGTTATGGAAGCTGTGGTGCTGTGTCGGTGGAGGGGAGGGAAGGGAAGGGGTATAACAAGATAATTTGGATAATTCTGAAATTGACCACTGTGAGTGGTACGACCTTATACTCTTTCCGAGGAAGCACATCGAGAGACATACAGTCGAGATCAAGCATGACAACATGACATGACAACGTTCAGGAATGATCTAGCGGAATAATCTTTAGAAAATTTGCTACCTAAATGAG